GAAAGTGTCATATTACAGATTATGTAGAACGACGCAGGCTAAACGTAGTTCATGTTGCGATTCAATTTTATTCGTTTTAATGTTTATACGAAAATATCTTTGCTTGAAAATTTCGTGATAAGTTAAAATGAATAGTCACTGAAAAATGTTGGGAGGGGAAATTTCCCTCATTTCCATCCGAGTGGATCCGCGCCTGAGTATACTACTATTGAGCTAAATATGATCAAGATCTAATTTATATTTAAATGTTAAATGGTTTAGCACAGTGACGACTAGTAAAACTAGCAAATTTAGTATTAAAAGCAAAATTTCCAATTGGGTAACTATCCCAAATTTCATTATGTGAATAAAAAAAATTCATAAAGAAGTTATAAACTGCTTATCATTGTCCCGTTTCTTCATGACGAAAATAAACAGAGCGGCCAATTATAGGAATATCACGCAACGAACAGTCTACAAACTCACGCACCCATACCCGTCAACATGTTTCCTTGTGAACACTTGATTAAACATTTCGAAGCGTTAAAGCCTATTTTCACTCAACAACCCATTATTCTTCTTAATGCTTCTCTCAGTTGGAAATCCCTTTCTCCTCACTTCGTTATTATTTCAAGGATATTGGAAGTTATCCATCTGTGAAAAATATTTAACTGCATCTAATAAAAAAATAGATGAGAGAAAGTAATAATTATGCATGTCAATAAACAGTACGATTCATTTAACTGTATTATAATTTCCCAGAACTGTAATTTAAGGGAAATTCTAAACAACGAATGACTGAACTTCCTGTATCGATTTACGACACGGCGTGCTTCTTCGGATCGCGATTTGGTCGCTCGTGTCATCTCACGAGAGCCGGGAAAAAACCCACATTGAGCCCACAACGTTGCCCTGCAGCTGACTGAAACCTGGGCCCATTGCACAGAACGTGTCTAGAAATATAGAGGAAAAATTCGGGCTTTTTAAAAGGATTGTTTCTGCTATGGAAAATATGTCAAAAATGAACGAAATTTAACTTTATCAAAATAATAGGTATTAGCGTCAGTAGAGGCCATTTCAAGAATAAAATTTAAAAACTAGAAATTAAATCCCACTGGCTTCAAACGTGTAGAACCTGGAGCTTACGGCTTCTAATGGAGACGATTAGAATAAAGATAATTTATATTTTCTTTCTTGATATTTAAAGAGTAAGCTGAAAATCTCTTATTATTATTGGTCTTGCAATATGACATGAAAGGGTACTTTTGTGACCTCAGACAAGTTTAGAGGGTAGTATATCGAATGGTCATTACTGAATCGACTGACTAATTACTACCAAACTTTTGCAGTTTTTAGGTGTCCACTACACGAACAGAATCGGGATTTGGAAATAAAATAATAAAAATGGAACAAGTTAAAATTTTACTATTTTAGGCAAGGAAAATATTCAGAAAGAGATATGCAAATTGAGTTTTACGTAACGAATACTAAATATCCCAGGAACTTTGGGAACCACTAACATGTTCACGACTTTGGGCACTAATTTTGCTTTTACCTCAGGTGTGAATAAATATATCACCAAAAGCGTTTTATTTTTCGTAGATGATTGGCAGAGAAGAGGGCTTGTAGACACTGCGCCAATCAACCGTAATTGAAAAAACTGCCAACTAGTCCAGATGGGAATTTTTCATTAAAGGAGGCCGTAGAGGTGACAAGATAACTCAAAACTTAAAAAAACGGATAAACAAAAATTAAGAGCTTGTTAGAAATTTTAAGCTGAAATAAAGAGAGCGAAATCTTTACTTCCAAAAATTGCAGGAGACAAGAAATGAACTATGAGCACATTTCTCTCAAGCTCTAAAATACATTTGAGATCAGTAATCCACCATTGTTACACTAATCTCACTGAGACATCTGTGAGTTTATGGAAGCTATGTGGCTGATGTAGCAACCTGAGTGTCAACCAGTTTCGCTGTTCCCCTACACTTTCGTCTGTACAAACGAAATAAATAATGCATGATTACGATTATCAAATACTAATTTTGGTTTCTAGTCTAATATTTAAAATAAAAGGCAGCAGCATTAGCCATAAGAACTACACCAAGATCTATGAAAATAATGAGTGCTTGAACAAAGCAAGATATTATACACACAAACATAATATAAACACATACAGACAAACTACGAACCAGTAGCTTTACTAATATATCAGTGACTATTCCTGATTAATACAAACGTATCCATCAGCGTACTGAGTACAGAAACTGTGTTGACCTACTTGTTCGTACGTTTTTGTCACGGGATTACCCCGCGAAATTTTAATGCGAACATCGTCTGTCCCGAAGGTCAAGTTGACCCTGGGTGGTAGTAGTCACCCAAATTGCTCTTACAAATGCGAGGACCTTTTTAAAATGCCCGACGTGGACTACATCGCGGCGTAGGGAAACCCATTTCATCTGTTTCGCTCTGACATCTGTTGATACGAGCTGTCACTCACTTCAACACGGAATCCTCACTCATCCAAACAACATGAAAAGGATCTGCATTGCTGTAAATTTTGTAGAAATTATATTGAGTACACGTAATATTTGCTCGGAATACAAGACTATAGACAGGATAACAGTATTTTTGTGAGTGCTCAATTATACCTTCAAATTTCCCACGGTTGTAGTGATAAGTGTAAATAAAGAAATGTGTGAGATATGTCAGTGCTTTTCTTTTTTTACAATCCATGATTTAAAGTTAAACTCGTTTCGAAAAGATTAAAATTCAAACAAGGTTAATCTTTTCATCTCTCAAAACTAAATTATTAAACAGAAAATATAAGTGAAATTGGAGTTTTCAGTTGGGTGTACCGGGAAGAATAAATTAATTAAATAAATAAATATATAAATAAAATTAAAACCGAAAAATGTGCAACTTTTTCAAGAAATAAGGAGTTTTCTCTTGCCAGCTGTCGTTTTATTTTATTACTGATTGATATTCTCAGTAACTATTTTTTCTTGAAATACGATACTTTTATTGCTCTATTCTGCATAATTACAAAGTAAATATTTTTTAAAGTTGGTTCTAGCTCATACGTCATTCTTATTAGCCCTAGAAGCCCTAGTATTGTATTGTCAGTAATTTATACCTGGAGAATACGATATCGTGTGATAGTTGACCAATTGCTAATGATATGTGACGCATGACGGTAAGTAGTGTCCAAAAAACATAAATACGTGTCTGTTACAGAGCTACCTAATTTTGTATATCTCTTACGAAGTGTTTAGAACTCATTATTATCCAGAAAACACAAAGGAAAGAAACTGAAAGTAAATTTGTTTTATTTGAGTAATAAATGAGAAAATGGTAAATAAAGTCCCGGTATTTCTTTTAAAAAGTAGCGACAAAGAAAATGTGTGAAAAAGTTGTTTTGTATCTTGCATGATCACAAAATATATGATGTAATACAATAATAACAATAATAATAAAACCAGAAGGAGTCAGAATAAGATAAAAATGTCAAACATAGCGACCTTCAGAGGGGTGGAATGAATGGAAACGGAAAATCACAGTTGTTCTAGAAGTAATTGGGGAGTGGAGCCCACACACAGAGAGCTGACGAAATATCTGAGCACCCAAAGTCTCAGTGCCAGTCTTGCGTCATAACTGCAAAGATCGATCTACTGGTTACCGCTCACATCCTGCGCAGGTGCCTCTGAGATTCTTTGTTTCTTGGGTAGGACCTGAATCCGTAGAAGTATCAGGCAGCCAAAGGGAGCTGATTGCGTTACAATAATAATAATAATAATAATAATAATAATAATAATAATAATAATAATAATAATAATAATAAGTGGCCAGGTTCATCAAGAATACTGCTGAATAAAAGCATTCAAAACAGTTATCCAAAAAGTAGCACGCACACTTATCAAAAATAACAAATAAAATACTCTCTTATAACTGCAATAAATTAAATATTTTAACGGTTCACAAATACGGCAGTAACAGAATATAGTACATTCGAAAACATAGTACAAAAGTTCTTAAATACCAAAGTTATAAGGAAAGATGTTGTTTCATAATACGAAACATGAACATCAAATATTTAACGTCGGACGGCCTCTTACTTTGATGCTTGCTCTCGCGTGACGTTAGTAGTGTCCTAAAAAGTGATGCGCTAAGTATGAAGTTTCAGTTAGTAAGCGCAGTATGTGTAGAGTCGGAAAAACAGTATCAAATATTTGCATTTTCAGTCCACATCGAGACTATTTATGACTGATTATTGTCTGATTATTCTCGAGTTCATGTATATCTAACGAAACCATAGATACCTATCAAAACGTAGAGACTGAATAGTTTTCTTCCAATTTTTGAGCGCATTGGAAGTTAGTAATATATAATAATAGTAATAAGAAGAAGACTGAAAGAAGGAGAAGACGAAAAAGAAGATAAAAGAAAGTAAAAATCAGGAGAATAATAAGGAGAAGAACAAGGAGGAGAAGAAGAAGAAAATAAGGAGAAGGGGGAAAAGGAGAAGGTGGAAAAGAAGGAGGAGGAGGAGAAGGAGGAGAAGGAGGAGGAGGAGGAGGA